CAACAATCCTTTCCTCGTCCGCCATTTTGTCAGAGCGCCTGCGATAAATTCAGCATTAAACCACATTGCGCACTCTCAGTTGATATTTAAATTAGCCAATCAGCGGTTTTTTTAGCCACGTCAACGTCCTATATAACCAGTGGAGGACTTTACGGGCTGCATATTAAGGCGCCATTGGCAGCTTACATGCAGCTTACGTACAGACTCCCGTACGAATAACAATCGCGAATAATTCGTACGGGAGTGAAAAATGTTGGTAAATATTTGCAGCTTACAATCATGAGTATGAATTGTTAGTACATTAGCGTTATGTCTCCAGACAGGGATAGGCTGTTGAACCGGGAGACAATCCCCTACTCTTATACGAATAATTCAACAGATTCTTTTATGTCCCCAATTTTACTGTAGGTTAGGAAAGGTTGGGAGGGTTACGAATTCGGAAAAGGTCTTTTTGATGTAGTGTCGTACGAGACTACTTTTTCAAGAGAATGTCTCTGGTGATTGAGTCATCATACATGCCCACGTAATCCACGTAATTGTCACTGACAGCGAGAAGAAATTTCTAAATGATGGTATTAAATATAATTGCGCATCTTTTGTTGAAGCTCAACACCTTACAAGTTTATTACCATAAATATCTTCACTAAAGGTGGTGTTACACGGAACAACTTGCAACACCGATTTTTCGTGCAAGGCTATTGCGCCATTTGTGTGTCAATTTTTTTCGACATGTTACACGGGAATTAACAACTTTTCGCGCAACATTTACTTTAGTATTCAGTCCACGCGCTGCCAACTCACTCACGGCTATCTTTTTTCTTCTTTTCTTGCTTTTATCATTTTTTATCAACTACAAAAGTTTTATCATATCCGTTTCATTAGGTTTAGACAATTGTTGCACTTGCTGTACTGTTTAAACTTACTTCTTCTACAGTCGGCGCCATTTTATTGCGGGTCAAATCGGCGATGGACATGTTACACACATCGATTTGCTGAAAATTCGTTATCTTGCGTTGCAAGTTGTTGAAGCCAGATCAAAAACTTGCAACGTGCTGCAGAGTGGAATTTGCGCGAAAAATTGTCCTCGGCGCTATGTTACAAGACAACGATTTTTCGTGCACATTGTTGTGCAAAAAATCGGCGTTGTAAGTTGGTCCGTGTATCACCACCTTAATGAGAGAGCAGAGCAGAGCAGAGCAGAGCAGAGCAGAGCAGAGCAGAGCAGAGCAGAGCA